TTTATTGATGTTTTGAGATTCCTTAAGGTTTTCCCCTTGAACTTCAGCGTTTTCTAGACACTCACTGCCACCTAAATTCATAATCCAAAGCTTGCTCATTGTGGACCCTTCATCGAACTTAAGCTTAAGCTCATCAGACTATGTAAGTGTAACCATCGCTGGAATTGAAGAAACCATATTATTAAATTTAGAAATCACATCAACAAATTTATGCACTTCAGTAAGGAGTTGAGAATAGCCTTCCTCCCTCAACTTGACTTTACTTTCTATATTGTCAGCAAGAGATATACAATATTCATGAGACAGAAACTATTCAAGAGATTGAAATCTGCCTTCACATATCGATCGTAAAGAAACTATCAAACTCACAAGGAGGCTACTTTTATTTTCTTGAGAGATACAATATCAATGTCTTGAGAATCAGCCTAGGGCCTAAGAAAAGTTTTTCCCATACGATTTCTTTCAAGTAGAGATGCAAAGGCACAAACTGCAAGTATCATGATGGTAGTGTCTTAAAGGGCTTCCCACACATAAACAATAAATCCACAGAATGGTTTTTTAGTGAATTTATTAACTCCAAACATTTCGTTTCTCTTATGAAGCAATTTCTCAGAAGTAGAAATTCCATTGATACTTGAACATGATTAAGCTACCTGATTGGAGTCTTTGTTGGCTAAATATGCAGCAACTTGTGCAGCAGCCATTGTATCACTGGTAGAATTTGCAGCTGCTTCAGCAGCTGATGCTGAGCCTACAAACTGTATATGTCCTATTTCACACCACAACATGCGATTCGCACCACAGCCGAGACGTACATCAATAGCCGCATATACAAAATCTTTACCATACTTTTCCTCAAAAATATTCCTTAGAACGATCAGTTCCGAGATCTCAGAACACTTGGAAGAGGCAAAGATTAAACTAGCAATTCCCTCTTTGAGATTAGGTAGACACTCCTTTTGCTTTGCGATGATAGAAAGTCTGGATACTACTAATTCACAGAAAAGCTCAATGAACTCATTGGCGGTCAAAATTTTTTCTACTCTAAACCATGTTCAACCCGAATATCATGACCAGATTGTAGGGGCAAGGCAATGTCACCCCTCATTTGCTTCACCACCACATGCTTCTTGTTCCTCGGTAGCTTTATTTGAACCACTGCCATCTTCAATTGCATTTTGTGGAATTTAGAGCCTCCACCCTTATCCTGAATGCCATTGTAGTATCACATGTCCCAATCGAGAACAACATAGCAACTTGAGTCTGGAATTTCATCAAACAGTTTCCATGCACAAAAATACTTCCTCACAAATTTACCCGCAAGGTACCAATTAACCAATCCAAATTTATCTTTCAGGTATGCACCATAGTAATTAGTAAAAAGAGAAGGGAATTTAGCCTCCGAAGTTGTTGAAATGATACTCAAATTAAGAACTACCTCAGGTCCAGTGTCTGTAGTATCGAAGAACGAGTACTCATAAAGTAGGCACGGAGCAGAGGTCATCGTCGAAACATGAATCCCTCTCTTCGATTTCGGCAGAGAAACTGTGGCTGCAGTGGAATCGTTCAATTATGGCTTGAAGGCCGAAGTTGTCAGTGCTCGCAACAACGGTAAAGATGAGAGCAACAATGGAGCTTGGATTGCAGCCAGAATAAGTTGTGATTGGGCTCCTCCAACACAGATTGGGCTTCGAGGTAGCTGGATAGGCTCAATCGCAGGAGAAACATGATGGTCAGTGGCAAGAGGGGCATATATGCATTCTCCGGCACTTCGAAAGTGTAACTCTTTACGAAATTTGTTGAAATAGGCAAAAAGCTTGGTTGCAAAGACCTTTTCGATAACAACATCAATGAGGGAAGGTAACGAGGCCATCGTAGCCTCCAAGGAAGGAGTATGATCTTCCAGGGAAGAGAAACGAGGGTCAATGGTTTGGCTAGTGTGCACGAGAGGGAAACTAGGATTCGAGAAGGATGAGCCCAACCCAAAAGACTGGTGGTGGTTTGGATCGGTGGTGTGATCTTGCCAGAGTTTGGTGGGTGTAAGACACGATGCGGAGAAGAAAGAAGAGAAGGATGCACGCAAAGAAGAATGCAGCGAGAGTCTTAGCAGTCCCATTGTAATCGGGGGGCCTCGCTAAGACCCTTTAGCGAGAGAGTTAGTGAACGCGAGTCCCTTTCAATCCCATTAAACTTAGTCTCACTATGTAACAAACACATAATTACACTGATAAGTAGTCCAGTTTAGTTCAGTAAAGATTAGTGAAGCCAAACAAACGCACCCTTAAGGACTAAAGATGCATAAGTTGCCTTTTTTTTTTTACCCTACCAATTCCAACAATTGAGTATTTTAAGGCCGAATTAATGGACAATGAGCGAAAAACAAAAGGAGAAATGCAAAAAGAAAATGTTAAAGCAAAAAAGAAAAAAGTTGAAGTTGGCTTCCAATACTCCCCTCAAGCTGGATCAAGAAGATTGACTGATTGAAGCTTGGACATAAGTTAAATTGAGTTGTGGGTAGGGTCTTGGTGAGAACATCTGCAAGCTGATCATGGTTGCAAGGATAATAAGTTTGAATCGTCTAGGATCGAACTTTCTCTCGAATATAATGCCAATTGACTTCGATATGCTTAGAGCATCTCCAAGGGGATGTTAAATTCAAAACATCACATTTAAATTTGATAGCTTATGTGGCAATTTGACATCTTCATTTATTTTAATATCCAACCGATATGTTTCTTTGTTATTAATTTAGTCTTGATATACTAAAAATTTGGTGTAAAAAAGTTAAGATTCACTCTAATAATAAGAAAAAATAATAGAAATTTTATGTGGGCCCTAGTATAAAACCAAGGAAATGGAAGAAATTGACGCCTACTCTCCTTTGTTGCCAATTTTGATTGTCACAGAAGAGGGACATAGGTTGGCTACTGGGAAACCCCAAATTAGAAAGAAGTCCTTTTAACCATATGAGCTCACAAGCAGATGACGCCTTGCCTTATACTCAACTTTGATGCTCCAACGAGCAAATTATGTTTTGTTTTTTGCCCTTATACAACTAAGTTTCCTCCAGCAGATGTACAATAGCCAGTGGTTAATTTTCAGTCGATAGCATTTCCTGCCCAATTCGCATCATGTGTACTCCATAATTTGAATGTTGTCATTTTTTGTTCAACAGAATACCATGAGCAACTGACCATTTGGCTTTCCCTTCATGAAAAGGAGATTTTGAGTTTCAACTCCTGCTAGGCAATCTATTGATGATGTATTGGGCAGTGAGAACTCCTAGTGACCAAAGTCTTTTAGGTACATTCAGCCTTGGGTTTTTTTCAAGCAAGTCTCTATTCTTCCTCTCAGCTACATCGTTTTGTGTGGTATACCTACACAACTTGTTTGATGTATGATGCCATATGTGCTCAAATAGTCAATCATGATTTTTGAAGTGTACTCAGTGCCATTGTCTTATCTTAATATTATTAGATGAGAATTGATTCATGATGTTCTTAGACTGGATTTAGGCTGACTTGACATACCTTTGGAATTGTAATATCTTTTGACAACTAATACAATCTATTCAAGTAGAACCCTCCACTAATCAGCTTCTTGATGACTCGATCCTGAAAGACAACATTGTGAGGAGAAAAGGTGGCAAGGAAGTTTAAAGAGTTTGTAATTCACCCAAACAGACAAAAGTTGGAAAGAAAAGGAAGGAAGATACAAGGCAGTAGACTCAACATTTTCAGAGAGCAAATTTATTTTCCCTCTACCGTGGTTTTCAAAGTCATGCACTTTGAAGATTGATTTGTCATGTGGTCAGTGGACCTTGAATACATGATCTAAAAATCATGTGAAGACTGATATTAAGAGCAGTTGAGAGAGCAGATATGCTACTTGGATGTTATTGAAATGTTATTTGTTATTGATTGTAAAATTGTGAGTAGTCTGGAACTCTATGTTTTCATGCTAGACAATGTCGTAAGAGTTTTTGGAAATCACTGCAAATAAAAGATTTTTAAAGCTTAACAAAATGATGAATTACGATTGGCTTGATTCCTTATGTAGGCAATCTAACCTGAGGTTAGGTGCATCAGCAAAGTAAAATGAAAAGATCCTATGTTGTTGAACTATTGGTTTAATTTTTGTCATATCTCGGGACAGGAGCATGACTTCTTTAATAATATCTGAACTTAGGTATTAAATTCTCGTACCGTTTCATTAAAGTGAGAAGTATGAGTAAAGAAAAAAGAAGAAAAATAAAAAGAAAAAGTTGACAGCAAAGCAAAAGTAAAAAGTTAAAGCAAAAAAGAAAAAGTTGAAATTGGCTTCCAATATTTCTCAATAGAGCAGCTGCAAAGTTCTGCCTAAATCTATTATCGCAACAGCAGTAACTGAGAACCTTTTCGTATTCCTCTATTATCGTAAAGCAGTGCCTAGATTATAACTAGTTCAGTGCCTTGGGTTCAAGCTGTGTAGCTAATTCAAACTTTCAAATTTTCATTTTACTGGACATGAATATCGCCTCATTGTGCTTGGGAAGAAGAACTGATTTGTGTGGGAACTTGAAGAAAGACCTTTGTATGGTTTGAAGATTAAAGTGTACGCGTATTCATTTATACAATCTTTTCACTTTAAAACTTTACCAAATCCACGGTATCCTCAATGGCACAATGTATGAAGCCATTGAGTAGTTGCTTTTTTTTTTTTTAATGAATTGGAAAAGAAAGAGATTGCACACCGAGTTTATTAAACTTAGTACAATACAAAGATGAAAAGACATATTTCGTCCAATGTGCAGGAAGCTTGTTGCATATAGAGATTTTTCAATTTGCCCGAAACGCGAGGTGGTATGCTACATGTCATTATACAATTGGTGGAAAGTTTTTTGCATTATGACATGTGGCGTACCACCCTGTTATCGGACACACTGAAAAATCTCTACACTGAATTCCTTCTCTAATGACATTATTTATAGGTAAGCCCCTCTTGATGCAAAAGATAATTGTTTAGCCTTAACAGTTTGTTAACCAATTTCAATTTTATTGCCATGGCTTGTTATCTCTTTCAACAAAATGGTTAAATACTTTATCTGCTTTATGTTACTGGTTTTAGTCTAGACAATATGTGCTTGCATTAACACTATATTTTGTTTCAGGGTTTTCGACATCATTTTCAGATTCACCTCCAACTCATTATGCTCTAAAAATCCAGTCGTTTTCAGTGCTAACCAAAACTTCAGCTGACGAATATGAGTCGGGAGAATTTGAAGCTGGAGGATACAAATGGTAAATCCTGTTCGTCACAGGAATTTCCGTCGGGGATGCTTTCCTGGCGAACGAGCACACAGCTCCCCTGGAGGTCGGCGCCGGTTGAGGGCTGCTGTCGGGCTTCTGCTTTCCTATCGGGCTTTGTCGGGCAAGTCTCGTCGGGCAAGTCTTGATCGGGCAAGGCTCTTCGGGCAAGGCTCGTCGGGCAGTGCTAAAAGAGAAGGACAGAGTTAATTTGAAATGTGCCTTTGTGGGGCCTTAGGTATAGGCCTTGAGGCTCACAATCAAGATTAACTTTGAGGTGCTCAGGCGTGCCACTGCCATCTTCAGTATGGCAAATGTAGAATGGATGTCGAGTTTTAGATGCAAATACGTATATGCCCGAGAAACCGTGTTAGATATGGCAGGTGCCTTTGTGGGGCTTTAGGTGTAGGCCTTGAGGCTTCCTGTCAAACTAAACCAGTGCTCGAACACATCATATTTGAGCTCGTGTTTGCAGGAGTCTTATCACTATTATATTTCTGATTATCCGAGTCCGAAAGGTAGAACGAACCCAAATAGGTGCCTTTGTGGGGCCTTAGGTGTAGGCCTTGAGGCTTCCCATTAGAGTTCATTCTTATACTCGAACTATCTAGACCGCAGAATAGAATGAATCCAAATAGGTGCCTTTGTGGGGCCTTAGGTGTAGGCCTTGAGGCTTCCAATCAGAATCCATTCCATACTTAAGCGTTCTATGATAATCATGATATAATAGACACAAAACCAAGAGTTAGGTCGATTACTTGCGCCCCAAGTAACTTCGGACTTCTCGTTTATCAAGGATTGTCGTGGATGGGTTAAGTCCACATAAAGTTCTTTTTTATGCCTTGAGGCCAAGGACTTTTAAACTGATCAGATTTACATGCCTGAGGGCTTAGGACTTGGATCTGATTTGAACACTGAAGATATATTCAAATCGGATCCAAATACTGAGAAAGCATTTTCATCATTATTTTGCTAGAAACAACTTGCATATAACTGGAAGTATACAACATATTGCTAGGCTTTAAAGAAAGAAAAGACAAAGACTGAGCAAAGAAGGTCGGGCAAGATTAAACCTTATCAGTTAAGGCTGATCGTCTTGCAGGTCCCTATCTTTGTAGTTTTGTCAAATGTCTGAAAGCTTAGAGGGAGAGAGGGGGAGAGGGAGATACAAAAAGTGAATCGATATTACAACAAGTTCGAACAAGGTAGCAGAGCTATTACAAAGGTTTGAAGAGAAGGTTATCCCGCGAGGGATAAAGGCTTGTCCCGAATGGGATGAAGGCTTGTTGCTGACTACAGCTTTGTTTGGAAGGCAAATCTGGCTTTTGAGCAGAGTTTGGGCTTGCATTTGTTTGTTTGTTTGAGTGTCCTTATTCCTGTCTTCTCTTCCTCCTTTTATAGACAACTTGGCTTGGCCTCCTGTAGCAGCAGCCTTGCCCGAATGCGGTTTGAGGGTGATGACTCATCAGCTATTTTACATGTAATGCCACCATAAAGTACTTTATGGGCTGTGCAGTCTGGTCAGTCTACACCACTTGGTCTTTGGGTAGGTAAGCAAGTGGTCCTTATGAATTGTCTCCTTAAATTCTTTAAATTTTGAAAATGTTTCAAATTTTTCTTTCACAAAGAAAACCCATACATACTTGGAGAAGTCATCAATGAATGTCACCATGTATCGCATCCCACTTATCGATGGTTGCTTGACTAGCCCGAACACATCGGAATGAACCAACTCCAACGGCTCTTTCACTTTAAACTTCGACTCTTCGTATGGTAGTTAATGTGTTTTACCATATTGGCATCCTACACAAATCGTGTATGTTCCCATGTCAAGTTAAGGTAGCCCCTTAAGTATTGACTTCTTCATCATTACATTTAGCTTGTGGTAGCTAACGTGACCCAATCTCATGTACCATAAATATATTGTCTTGTTCTTCCTTGTCTTGTCTACGTATGCAGTTTCTGCTGACATTACATAGACAGACTGTAGTCGCCGTCCCTCCATTGTTGGCGTCCCTAAGATCTTGAGGTGTCGATACACTTTCACATCTCGTGGACCAAACAAGACATAATTTCCCAATGACATCAGTTGCGGCACTGAAAGTAGATTTTTCTTCATACCTGGAACATGGTAGACATCTTGAAGCGACACATGGTTAGTGTTGTAGGGGCTCAATTACTGTCTTATCGATGTGAGCAATCAGTAGCCTCGAGTCGTTGGCCGTCACCACCAAGCGGCCTCTTTTGTACTCAGTCAGACTTTGTAACTTTTTCTCATCACTTGTCTTATGGTTTGAGTAGCCTGAATCCACGATCCAATCATTCTGGTAGTCAATCGACTTCGGACTTGTTACTGTGAGAGCTGACTTATTCTCCATAACAATTGATGCTTCAGCGTCCCATTCTTCCTCCAGGGCTAGATATGATAGGCGTCTAGTCATCTTCACTTTTCTTCCCTGAGTTGGCGACGTTACTTTCTGCGGGCTTTTTGAACCAACATTCCTTCGCCATGTGGCCATTCTTTCCACAATTGTAACATTGCCCTTAAACCTTTTATTGTTCTAAGACTGATCATAGTTGTCGTGATACTTCAGAGCTCCCCCTGACCGAGAACTCCCTCCTCCTTGATGACCTTTTGCATTGTCACCATTCCTTTTAGATCCACCACCAGCACTCTGCTTAAAGCTGCCTTTACTTTTGGTATAGAGTGCTTCCTCTTTAACTCTTAACGAGACCCATCCCATTTGCTTTGCCAAAGCTTCTTGATCGGCAATCAAATTCTCAAACTCAATAAGTGATGGTTGGGTCAGCCATCCTTGTACAGCGGCAATGAAGCCTCGATATTCAGGTCTCAATCCATGGATAATTATTCTTCTTATCCTGGATTTTACAATGGCAACACTAGGATCTAACTCATAAATTTCATGGCAAATAGACTTTACCTTGTGGAAATATTCGGTAATCGTCATGTCTCATTGGGCCACCGATAACAACTCGTTCTCGAGAAGCTAGAGTCTTGTATCGTTCATCTTTGAAAAGAGTATGGCGAAGGTGTCACACGTTTTTTTTGGTGTCTTGGCCTTCCGTATGTGCTCCAACATGTCATCTTCAACTGTGGTTTTTAAGGCAAACATGGCTTTACCTGCCTTGATCTTCCACTTCCTCAAAATGTCGTTGGTGTCTTCTTCAGGCTGCGTAACTTCATTACCGCCAATGACATCCCAAAGATCTTGGCCTTGTAGGTAAGACTCCATACACGTCGCCCATGTGTTGTAATTTTTGTTGTTCAACTTCTTGATTCCTCCAACAACTTCAAGATCTCCCATCATGTCAGTAGAACTTCAATAAGCCGAACAAGATTAACGAATAATCTTGCGAATCACTAAACTTCTCACGATTCTTAAAAACTTCACTAGAGATGGTCCCCAATCGTACCGCTCTGATACCAATTGTTGAGAAAAAAACTTAAGAGTACACAATTCTAACACAAGTGTTGGAGAGACAACACATGTAAACAAATTACTTGTATTACACACACAAAATATTACAACACTCAAAACTCTCAAAGACACTTTAGAAGCAATGACATTCACTCACTTTCTAAAGACAAACTCTAGATCACTCACACTCCTCACAAGACTACTCTTACTTCTCACTCTCACTTGGTTGCTTGATCACTTCTTCGTTACATCTTTTTTAACAGCACACATACATACATATTTATAGGCAATGGTTGTTGACTTTAAAGTTGGCTAGAACATTCTAGTGCAATGGTTATACATTGCACCGACTCACACACTGCAAACCGACTTGGGCTTTTCATAACAGCCTCACAATTTGGCTTCTAGGTCTTTCTACAAACTTATACTTTGATATTGCTAGACCTTTCATTGATCATGCAGCTACCGACATAAGTTTGCATAATAGCCTTGCCGACTTAAATGATGGTAGAATTTTCTAGCATATTGATATGCATGATGCACCGATTGTGGTGTTAGAACTCTCTAGAATCCAAACACCAATTGAGCTGGTGTTGATCTTCAACATTTCTTTCATTCAATTCAAAATATAAACAAGCTTAGAGTTCTCATAATTGCAAAGCATCGTCTCATTTTCTTATATGTTTTCCCTGTGCATTGCTTAGAACAAAGGGAAAGGCGTTTTCATAGGATGAAACCTGATTGGGGATTCAATCATTTTCTCTCCCACAAAATTTTCACTGAAGCTTCCAATGGATTCCTCATTGATGACATCTGTGTGTTCTGAGTGGATGTCTTTGTTTCTAAAGAGAGCAGCACAGGCAAAGGAGAGTGTCTATCAATGGTAAAGGATCCTATTATGTACAAGAATATTTGGAGGATTGACAACTTCTCAAAGCTGGACGACGAATCATACGACTCAAAAGTATTCACTGCCGGAGACCAGAAATGGTATGTAACCCTAAACTTGTTAGACTTCGCTTCCTGTATAAGAAATTTCTCTTGCAGACATCGGAAACTTAAGCAGAGTCAAGTAAAAGTTTTGCAAATGTGTTGGTTGTTTTGTAGGAAGATACAGCTCTATCCCAAGGGAAAAGGCAATGGAGTTGGTACCCATCTAGCTTTATATAGCATTAGCCGAACCGAATCCTCTTCCTCCTAGCTGTAAAATATATGCAAAGTTTACACTACGCCTTCTAGACCAGGTGCATGCCAGGCATCAGTCTGGTAAAGGTAAAAGATTTGCCTGATCCTATTGCTACATAATCATTCGTGGAAATAAGGACTTGAACATGTTACAAACCCAAATTAAAGGTTGTTTTATTGCCGCCCCCTTACGAAATTCACCCCATGAACGACACCGCGCTTGGTGTCTTCGTGGCGTTTGAATCTCGATGGCATACGACGATGGTGATATTTATCGTTGAACTTTCGTTCAATGGAAAGTTGATATCGAGAATTTTTGCTTGCAACCTACTGAAAATGTTCACAACTTTTTGGTTTCTTGTTGCGAGA